CCAAACAAGATGTATGCGAACAGGCCCACTCCAAGACACTTCATAATTAAAATGTCAGAAGTTAAAGATAAAGAGACAATCTTAAAAGCAGCAAGAGAAAAGAAGTTACTTACCTACAGGGGAGCTCCCATAAGAAGGTCAGCTCATTTCTCAAAAGGAATTTTGCAGGCTAGAAGGGATTGACAAGAAATATTCAAAGTCCTGAAAAGTGGGGACCTACAGTCAGGATTACTCTACTCAGCAAAGCTATCATGTAGAATCAAGGGTAGATAAAAAGCTTCCCAGGCAAGAAATAACTAAAGAAGTTCACCATCACCAAACAATTATTATATGAAATGTTAAAGGGACTTACTTAAGAAAAGGAAGAAGATCAAAACTATGAACAATAAAATAGAAATGAATATGTATTTGTCAACAAATGAATCTAAAAAGCAAACTAAGCAAACAAGAAGAACAGAGAGACTCATGGATACAGAGACTGATTTGATGGTTGTCTGATAGCAGGGGTGTGCAAAGGAATGTGTGAAGAGTTGAGGGGATTAAAAAGTACAGATAGGCAGTTACAGAATAGCCATGGGGTATAAAGTATAGGAAATGGAGTAGCCAGAGCACTTATATGCATGACCCCTGGGCATGAACAATGGTGTGGGGGTTGCCTGAGGGAGTGGATCTGCTGGGTGGAGGAGGGTAAAAGGGAAAAAATTAGGATAACTATAATAGCATAATTAATAAAATATAATTAAAAAATAAAAGCTGAGCAAGGATAATATTCAAGAAAACATAATTTTATACCAAGATAGATGTGAAAATCCTTAATATAAGACTATCAAATAAAACACAGTGTTATTAAAATACTATTATTTATAAAAATATTATTAAAAGCATAATGTATTATGACCATTATCATAAGGTTATCTCAGCTTAATATAAGGAAATTTATTAATATAATTACTCATGTAAACTGATTAAAGAAAAACAATTATGATCTCTCTAATAAATCTTGCAAAAATACTCTACAAATTTTGACACTTATTTTTTATTAAAAAATTCTTACAAAACTAAGAATAAAACAAATTATTTATTCATAAGCTACTCAACAGTAATCTCCAGCATGTCATTTTAATTAAGATACATTAAAAGCACTGCAAAAATAAGATAGGACTGCCACTGCAAAGACACTCTTTGAGGCTGTACTATTAGTCCATGAAATAAGAGAATATAAAGAAATGAGAGGAATACAGTCAGAATGATGTGCCTTTCCCCATTACAGATGATAAGATTATTGAAAAATTTAAGAAAACCATCTTAAAACACTTATAATTAGTAGGAAGTTAAGGGAAAATCTAATATTACAAAAAGTGTATTATGAGCTACACCCAAAATAAAATGTTATCCCATTAACAATACACTGGTTTTCTCTTTATCCGGTTATTCACTTAACGTTTAAAAATTTAGTGTGCAAGCAATGCAATATTTCCCAGGAATTAGGGGTGCACGGGTAGTAGTAAGAAATTGCATGTGCATATTAATTAATTCACTGGAAAATAATGGTCAGTAATGATTGTATTTTGTAAACTCTACTGAACAAAAATAAGAAAATTATTTTGGGATGGAAAAATAAGAGTGATACTGATAATGGTGTTTTAGAAATTAGAGATAATCAGTTTTAATTTATCTGTTCTCACATAAACTTGAAATAACTAAGAAAAAATTTAGTACTATACATCTCATTTTAATACAGTATAATTTCTCTTTATTATAAATATTTTAATTTTCAGTTACCTCTGAAGGAAATCATTACTGTAAAACAGATCTGTAATTTGTATTTGTGCTTGTGTTTATGTTAAACAGTGAATATATATTAATTTTGTAACAGAGTATTCTAGTAATTTCTAGGGACATCTTAGTCTGCATCATTCACAAACATAACTCTTAAGTTTTAAATGTAAAACAAAGCATTGCCCTAGATAGTGAGCACTGATTTGTAACAATGTGCTCTTTTGTAATAGTGTTTTTAATAAAATATTATCAGTGGTAAGATGTAAATAAAGAAGCAAATTGCTTCATTCATCATGTATTTTAAGCAGTTAAAATGAATGAACTCTCCTTTGAGAAAACATCTGACTAAGCAAAATAATGGTTATGAGTTTGAGAAAATGCTTAATGAACTTACTGGTTAAAATGCAGTTGTTATTTTAGAGCCTATTATTTTATGTTTTAAATTAATTGAGGTTTCTTTGCTCAGAGACTTTTTTTCTCTTTTTTCATTTAATATACCAAAATAAGTGATTGTATTAACTCATGTGGATGTCAAGAATTCACTGAGTAGGAATGCTGGTTGACATAAAGTGCACAAGTGGAAGAGCATAACCATGAGTCTTCATGTTCATTTGTTTAGTGTCGGTTCAAAAGAAAAAAGTTGCCAGTGATCAAACATGATTGGTCTTCAAACAGCTCATATTGTAACATTGTGAGTGACATTAATCTCCTAGTTTTTAGAGTTCTGAAACACATCTATGGAAGTTGAAATGATATTGCTATCTACACATTGAAATATTTCAAGTAATATGTACACCAATTTGCTTGCAACAGGATAAGGTGTTTACTTTAGATTTTATTTATTTATTTTTAGAGAGGGGAAGGGAGGGAGAGAGGGAGACAAATATCATTGTATGGTTGTCTCTCATATGCCCCCTGCTTGGGAACTGGCCCCCCAACCCAAGCATGTGCCCTAGACTGGAAATTGAACCAATGACCCTCTGGTTCACAGGCCAGCACTCAATCCACTGAGCCACACCAGCCAGGGCAACATGTTTACTTTTAAAATGTAAGCCTCATGGCAGCTTTATTCATAATTGCCAAAACTTATAAGAAACCAATGTTTCCTTCCATAGGACAATGGATAAATGGTGGTACATACAGACAACAGATAATTATTAAGAGCTGAGCTATCAAGCTGTAAAAATATATGAAGAAAATTTAACTGCATGTTACTACTAAAACACTCCAATCTGAAAAGGCTGTATGCTATGTGTTTCCAACTATATATGACCCTTTGGAAAAGGCAAAACTATGGGCAGTAGAAAGATCAATGTTTGCCAGGGTTTGGGAGAGAGGAAAGAATGACTAGGTGAAACACAGAGGATTTTTAAGGCAGTGAAACTACCCTGTGTAATACTGTAATGACAGATACATGTCGTTATATATTTGCCCAAACCCTTAGAATGTACAACACTCAGAGTGAGCCACAATGTAAACTATGGACTTTGGGTAATAATATCGTGTCCTCAGGTTCATCATTATAACAAATGCACCACTCCTCGGAGGAAGATATTGATAGTGAGGGAGACTATTCATGTATGGGGACATGGGAGATATAAAAAAAAAAAAACTATGTTCTGTTTAATTTGCTTTGAATCTCAAAATGCTCTAAAATTTTTAAAAGGTTATTAAAAATGTAAGCCTGACCATACTAATGGCTGCAATATTTAAAGTAAGGGATAATATTGGGAAATAGATAGTTCTAAACCATAGCAAACCACTCATATTACTCATTGTTAAATGAATTGATAATGTCGTGTCTGGCCTCCATGATAAATATTTTGTTCTTGCACATGATAGAAATTTAGTAGATACAATGCAGTGTTGCATTAAGCTAAACTGTAAGTAAAATGGGAACTTAGATGAAAAAAAGATAGTCTTTTTGGAAGGGTTGATATTAAAAATAATGACAACAAATTATAGCCAAAGACAAGTAGAGTGAGCACATTCCTATTTGAATAGTTTGAAAGGAAGTTATCTGAACATAGGGAAATAGCAAAAATGAATAGTTTGCAATTAGAAGGATGGGTTTGAATCTAAAGCTGTCTTAGTTTTGTGATGGTAGACAAGTTAACATATCTTAACCAATCTATGCCTTTACTTTATTTATGGTAAGATATGAACACACTAGATATGAATATTATTTGAGTATAACTGGAAGTTGTAATAGATAAAAATTAACCCACAAAATCAAGATTTCTGAAGCATGAACCTGACATTTCACTGTGATCCAAATACTATGGGACAAGTACATTATCTGACAGATGATAGAAGCTAATAAATATGTATTGAATGTGTAAAAAAAAAGTAGAAATCAGAAAATACATACTGGATGAGGGCCACATTGTGAAAGATTGTAGTCAACTTCTCATAGATAGATAGATGATAGATAGATAACTTGTACCTACTATGTATCTTTATAATACACAAATACAAAAAACTGTATACATTCTTCAACAGTGTTTTTGGTATTTGACCAGTGAAATTGGGCATTTAATGTATTCTGGTATTATTTTGTATAACATAATATTTAATAATTGATTTATTCATTCAACACTTCTTAAGGGCCTATAATATGTTGTTCAGGAAAAAGCCTTAAACAAGGTAATGCCTTTGTCTTCTTGAAGCTTTATATTCCAAAGCAAAAGGTAACTTTGATAATTCTGATTCCACATTTCCTTGATCTCTCAGGTATTAGATAGAAACATCAAAATTATATGGTGGCATATTCTGAATTTTGAAAGTATACATTTAATAATTATTTCATAAATATAAATATATTAAAATATACTTTTTACTTACAGTTCTATGAATTTAGACAAATGCATAGAGCTATATAACTACTACCATAATTAAGAAATAATTTCATTGCACCAAAAGAAGTCCCTTATAAAAGCAAACTTTTGGTAAAGCTTTGCAATTTTTTTTAAGGAAAGAGAAATTTAACATAAGAACAACCCAAGTAAGTCATAAGTTTTAAAAGTATGATTAAATTCGATAAATTCAGTCTCAAAGCATTTTCAGTTTTAAGACACAAAAATGAGTGCAAAGTAGATTAAAGTAAAACAAATAAAAACCAGGGGATACAATCTTGCTTAGTGAGTACTAGAGGATCTTACATAAATACAATGAAGTCTCAATACCCACGGGAACTGTGAAGCCATTATTCCAGCACTCACCCCATCTCCGTTTCCTGATCTGAATGTCTTATTTTGGGGCTTCTCTGAGCAGCTGCTCAATCCCTGGTGACGGCTGCTCCAAAAGGGAATTCTCAAGCCACGAGAGCACATGATCTCACAGATTCTGCACCCACGTGGAACTGACGTGCCTGAATTCAGGTCCTGCATTAAAAAAAAATTAGATGTGTTCAGGGAGGTGAATCTAATAATATACAGTTAAATATTTTAGAGGCTACAGATGAGTTTGGCAGTCTGGGGAGAGTTTGTAATGACACCTCAGTAAATGAAGTAGTACTATAGCTGTAGTAGCAGTAAAAATACTACTACTACTACTATGACTAATAATAACAATACTACCAAAAATATCAAGATGAAGATTATGCTTTGTTTTAAATAGACTTTCTAGAACATAACAATTACAGTCTAATAAGATAATATATCAGATAAAGAAGAAACTATGAAAACCAAGAAAAGTGAGAGACTCTCTTAAAGTCATATTAAAAGGACTAAAAACACAATAACAATTCCAGTAATAGTGACCAATGCAAAAATAAACCCTCCAATATTTTGAACCTTGTACATTGAGGAAGAGCTATAAATTCTCTGGAAGAAGTGTTAGAGATAGTCACAATAAATTAGGATAGGAGTTTAACTCAAACACACTAACAAAGAAACACCATTTTATTGCATGGCTCTGACAATGCAAACAAAACAATGTTTAAAAGTGGGTTCCTGGACCATCAAACTTGTATTATCACAGATTTTTTAGAGTGCCTGCAGCAGTTCATAAACTCATTCGTTTGTATTGACCATATTGACACAACTGTAATATTGGACTAAAATATTAAGATCATATCCAAATAAAGTTGTATGTCCTCTTTACTATTTTGCTCCTAAAGATCTTGGTAAGGAGATGGTGTAAATGCAGTTACCAGTTATATTTTCAAAACTCTAGGAAAAAAGAAAACCTGAAATCTTAGGAAAAAAAAAGAAAGAGAACATATTTTACTTTTATTTTTTTATGAGATCCAAGATGATAAAGAGATACACAGAATACATCTTCTACTCAAGCTAACAAAAAAAGAAAATATTCTACTTGAAAGCCAGAAAACACTAAGAGTAGGAAATAATAAGAACTAGAATATTTTCAAATACTTTTCCAGATCCTAAATTCTATCTAAAAATTATATTATTGGTTTTATGAACATGATTCTTAAGTCAGATAAACAGAAAGCACTTGTTGCCAAAGAGCCATTTTCATATATTCATATTTATATTCACTATGTACATAAAATTACGATCCATATTCCACATTTTCCTTTTTGGCCTCTGAGGTTCTTAGTACCATGAAATAACATTATTTGCATTTACATGCATTTGTGTACATACAACACACACATAACATCAAATTATGTCTTGCTATTTTTCCAAACTCAAGCCTGATAAAAATTGAAATTAATCAAGAACCAATGAATATAAAACTGAAAATGTTACACATACCAATAGGGTCACAGAAAATATTCAAAATCAGTACAATAAAGATTCTCCATTGATGGGAAGAGTTGGGCTAAAGAGCACTATAATCTTAGTACAGATTAGCTATATATCTATGTAGAGAATATATTCTATAATTTGGAATAGAGTAACTTGCAAAAATATTTAAATCTATTCTAGCATCTAATGAGCCATCTTTTCTGGAAAAAAAGTCCATTTTTTCCCATTCTCAATCCACATCAAATGTTCCTAGTATATACTTTCATCTATCATCAATATAATGGACAAAATCTTTAGAACATCAAAAATGGGTTTTGAATGACATTTCTAGCAAGTTTTGATATAAAATATGTGCAGCAGATAGAGATTTAATGTAGGAAGCAGGTAGAGGTTTAATGTAGTTGAATTCCCCATTATTCTGTGACTAATTACTCATTTTGTGGTGATCCAGGTCTGTGGCTTCTCTTTTTTCCTCTGGCTGCCTGCCTCTGGCCATTTCACAGTTCATTAGCACCTTCAACATCTGATTGGCAGTAGGAGAATATAGACGTGGCTCAAATCAGTCAATTTTACAGTTTTGTAACACTGGGGCTATAGGTTGGATGAAACAGGCAATTGAAACAAGTACCTAACATGTAATTATAAAGGTTTTCTTGAGTATCAAAAATCATTTTCTATGTTACCAGAAATACCCAGAAGTTGATTACAGGGAGATAGGATAACAAGTGTTACTTTAGGATACATTTTTTTATTGAAATTTCCTCTCTTCCTTTTATAATTACCCAGGGTTCACTGGATTACTGAGTAATATAGAAGCATGATGCACATAGAATGTGCTGGATTAAAATCACGAGAAGGACACTCTGCATTAAGTTTTATATCTGCCTTAACTAACCAGTAACCCTTTATCTTCTTAATGGCTTCTCTCAAAATAAATATAGTCTAAAAAGGCAAATGTAATGCTTTCTACAGTGATATATATACATATATATATTATATATATAATGTATATACACACATATACACACATACATAGATAATACATGAATTATATATATTAGTTAAATACTTCATGGTATATCTGTGTGTCATAGTGATCATGTTTTGTCTGATGCAATTTCTCATTTATTTGTGGGCAATATATATGGTATTTCTATATATATACAATGTATATATTGCATTATATACAATGTATGTACTATATATACTATATATTGTATATGTATATAATATATAACGTAATGTATAATCTAAGATTCACATTTTTTCAAAAATATATTTTATTTGCCCTGCCTGGTGTAGCTCAGTGGATTGAGCTCGGGCCTGCAAACCACATGATCACAGTTCGATTCCCAGTCAGGGCACATGCCTGGGTTGCAGGCCAGTTCTCAGCAGGGAATTCACGAGAGGCAACCATACATTGATATTTCTCTCCTTCTCTCCTTCCCTTCCTCGCTAAAGATGAATAAATAAAATCTTTAAAATATATATTTTATTAAAGAGGAGTGGATATACCTAATTGAGTACTGATTCTTCAGAAAATTTATTAATAATTAAATATTAAAATAATGAATATATACACATATATATCATTCATTTCAGCTTCAGTTTTCAATATAATTGTTGTGAGATTTAAATGAAAAAATATATATCATATATTGATTTAATGCCTGAAGTATAGAAAAAATTAAAAATAGCATCTTATATTTCTAATTTTAATATGCATACATGTGTTCTTATTTGCATTTGCTGACGGTGCGGGGTAGGAAACCCCCGCTGAGCACTGTTTTTGCCTATTGCACATTTGTTACTGAACAATTTCCCAAGGGATATACGTTCATTCTATTTGCGTCATGTACAGGATTCTCCCATGCATTTATGCAGAGTAGGGAATATTTTCTTAACTTTAGAAGGGCCAGCTTCTGAATATCTGAGTTCTAGGTTTGATTGTGGTTGAATGACTTTGTAACTTTAAATAAAACACCCAACATCTCAGCCTTCAAAAAAGGTCATATCTACATTGAAATATTTATAAAGAGGTTACGTGATATCATGTAACAAAGAGTTTTGTTATTCAGCAAGGAGTATTGAAGTAGAAATATTAGTATTACAAGAAAGAAAAACTCATAAAAGCAGTTTAAGTTTCACTTTATGAGATTCTAGAGAATTTTAAACACTAGATGGACAGATTAGATAAATTCTAAGAGGACAAAGGTACCACTGGTCTAGCAAAGCTTTAAGAGATGTATGTATCATAATGATTATAATTAACACTTATTTATGGACAAACCTCAAATCTGTCTCTCCCATAATATGTAATTAATTATAGGCTATAGACAGTTGTATATTCAATCTCATATCTGACTTTCCACACACTAGCCATCTGATCACCAGGGTCCAAGGAAAGTGTCATGATTAAATGTAATATCAAATCCAAACTAATTAGGTGTAATATTAACTGGCCCTCACCCAACTCATTAACTCCATTTCACATGATTTCATTACTCAAGTCTTTTTCTCAAACCCATGAATTTATTTAATTTTTTCATCTTCTCCTGCAACTTTATATCCACACTACATATTCTTATGTCTACCCCTTGACATTGGGTCACTTCACCTCTTTTTTCCATATTACATCATCATACAAAAACTTAATTTATATAATGGCCAAAGTTGAATGCATAGCACTTGTAGGATCCACTACTCAAACATTTTGTTACTAACATTTTGAATTTTATTAGACCATTATTAGGTCACCAGAGAGTCTTTCTTCCCATAAAGGAATAACTTAAGTTAGGTGTTTTCTTACTTTTCATTCCACTAATCTGCTCTATGTTTCAGGGTTCTGGGTACTCTATGTGCTTTTTAAGGTGTTAGTGGATAAAATTTGGTAAAATGGGAACTCTCCCAGAATATACTTGAAGACATATTAAGATAGTCACCCCTCTGTGATTTACTCATTCAATACTATTCTCAATCTTCTCTGAAATTGTATCTTCCTAATCCAGTTATATATCTTATTGGTTTGTCTTCCAAAATGCATGTTGTCTCATGGCCTTATCTGATATTTACATATATACATATCATATTTACAGTAAGTCCAAAATTACCTCTTATTATGGACTTCTTGAGTACCCAACATTTTTCTGTATCCAGGAACTCTTCATAAATAGCCAGGGACACAGAGAACACTCAGTAAATATTAGACAAGGTAAAAAATATTTTCTTATTGTGATGGACAATTGGATGACTGAAAAGGAAGGAAGAAGTGAAAGGCATTGGGGAAGACTCAGTGAGGAAAAATAACACTATGAGGAGGAGAAAAAGTGATGAATGGGTATTAAGAAAGGAAAAGTTCTCTGGAAGAAGCATCATTTTTACCAGAAAATTATGTATCAGTACACAATCCATGTACCTTCTTTTTACTTCTGTTTTTAAATTAGAGCATCTTTCTCCAGGCTCTTACTTTAAACCTCTTTGATTAAAACATGCTGTGTTCAATAGATGGCAAGAAATGTTTTAATAAAAATTTAGAGAAGTAAAGCAAGGTCAATCAGATTTTACTAGAACATAAAATGGAGGGATTTTCTTACTGAACAGTTTGCACATCAGTTCATTTAAACCTAATGACTTTCTCAGTTAGAAATAAGACC